CAATTTTTTTAAACATTTTGAATAGCAAGAAGTACTAATTAAATCCTAGAATTAAACTGTGTCCAATGGCCTACTAAAAAAATGTCTACTAAAATGCATATTCCTTTGTCGGTAACGTCAGAATGCCGCCATATTGAATTTAAGAAAGTACCTTTTTACGCCGTCATCTTGAAAATAAATGCAGCTTGTAATATGTCATTGAAAAGGTAATTTCAAGCTCTATCCAACTGTGTAAAAAAATGAACAGGGCTCTATAAAAATTTCTTGACTTGGTTCCATTTCCGAAGTAACCGGAAGTGATATTCAATTGTTTTTTTACGAAAAATGTGCGTTTCAATGAATTACCCATTCCACCCAATTTTCAAATTTTTAACTTTTAAGACAACTGAATGACGCCTTGTATAACGATTTCGTTGTCACCCGGTATATTCAGTGTTAATTTATATAAATTGGTTATTGTACATACACATACTAGTTTTTTAAGAAGTTTTAAATTTTCCAAAGTTTTGCTGATTTTTAATTGTTGTTTTTAAATTATTGCGTTTCTCCAATTAGGCACTAGCTGACGTCACACACATAACCTTTCAATGACATTTTTGTCTTCCTATCGAAGGTGACGGTATATCATTTTTGACGTAATAACGTCTGCGTGTAAAACTAGTCCTTCAAACGCTTTGTTTGTCTCCCCATCGAAAGTCGTATGTAAGGGTGTGTGTGACGTCAGCTAGTGCCTAAACCATAGCAATTTTTTTTTTAAGACTTGTTACAATATAGGGTAACTTTTTTTATTTTTGATCGTGATAAAAAAGTTACAGGTGATGGTACTTTATAATTTGATACCCGGTACATACATTATAGTGAATTATTCCTAATTCAATAAATAAAAATACATACGGACAAACACAATTATTCTAATCCTATCTAGCTAGTGTAATTTCAAAATCTATGAATCTAACAAATTTTTTTTTAGGTTTATGGTAAATAATGACTCTCTAGAAAATGAAACTGAAAACGATATTAAAGTGTCACACATTGATTTAATAGATCCAAATAAAGGAATATTTATGAACGAAGAGAAATATTCAAATGATGTGACACTTGCAAAGCAATATTCAAACAAAAATTTCTTTTGAAGAGGCATATATTATTGCATTCCGATGTTTATCTCTTTGAAAGTGACACTTGCAAAGCAAAATTTAAACGTAATGACATTTACATATTGATATATAACACGTATAAACACATGCACAGCAATTAACATTTTTTTCAAAAATTGTACTCCAACTTTCTGTTACATACTGCTATTTACTACAATGCAATTTCTGTTGAAATTTTTCAATTTTGGTGAGGGAATACATGTATAGGATAATGGTTACTACATTTAAGTAAACCAATAGATTTGTATGGATAATAAAAAATATTGTATCAATAAATGATATGCATTTTTTTTTGGGAATCTTAATCCCACTTGCCCAGTTAACTTAATTACGAAATCTAACAATAAATCTAAAGCACGTTTTTTTTCTTCAGTTTTATAATAGAAAATTATTATCTACAAGATGAAATCAAAAACGAAACAGAAGTATCAGCTATTGAACTAATAGACACTAAAGGCATATTCATAAAGGGAGAGGAAAATTTAAGTATTGCAAATTCATCAGAACCAGATGTTATCAAGAAGTTCCAATGCTATACTTGCCATGCTGTATTCAAAACCAAAGCAAGTTTGAAATGTCATTCAATTACACATTCGGATATTCGTCTTTTTGAATGTAACACTTGCAAAGCAAAATTTAAACGAAAATGCAATTTAAAGGATCACATTTCAACACATTCAAAGATTTATCCTTTCGCATGTAATACTTGCAAAGCAAAATTTAAACGAAAATATAGTTTAAAGGCTCACAAATTAATACACTCAGATATTTATCCTTTCGCATGTGATATTTGTGAAGCAAAATTTAAACGCAAAGGCGAATTGAAATATCACAGGTTATTACACTCAGAAATTTACTCTTTTAAATGTGACATTTGCAAAACAAAATTTAAACGAAAAAACGAATTAAATTCTCACATAGTAATACACTCAGATATTTATCCTTTGGAATGTAACATTTGCAATGCAAAATTCAAACGTAAAGTTTCTTTAAAAAATCACATAATGACTCACTCGGATATTTATCCCTTTGAATGTGACACTTGTAAAGCAAAATTCAAACAAAGTTGCAATTGGAAGAGACACTTATTAACACACTCGGATGAGAAGAATTTCAAATGTAACATATGCAACGCTGAATTTAGAACCAATTATAGTTTGAAAAAACATTCAATAGTGTCGCATTCAAATAGGAAGTGTTAATTTGTGTAGGTAATTTTTGCTCTGTTCAATTTAAGTACCTATTCTTTTAATCATTCACTGATTCACTAAATATAATTAGATTTAAATTTCAATTTTTTTTAATGTAATGTTAAGATGGTAATTATTTTTAGATTTTGTTATATAATTATATCCATGAACGCAAAATTCTGGGAAATTTAGTTCCGTTAAATATGTAATATCCAGGAAGTGTTCAAAGTAGAAAGTTTTGGTATAATTGTTTTTAGTGGTTTATATGTTTTTTGGGATGCTGAACATGAATCTTGAGTTGTCAAACAAAAATTTTTGCTACAAATCATCAAAAAATCCCTGAAAATAATGTTTCATAGTTGTTTCCAGCTTATAACTGGTGAAGCAAGCTACCTGCTTTTTTTTTGAGAAAACTATCCTTCATCGCAAGATAATTTAGAAGTTTTATGTTCAATTACTGAAATAGTTTGCAAAAAATAAAATAAAACTGTCCCCCGAAGCTAATGCGATTATAATCCTATTTTGTTCGGAATTTTTACTCTAATCTTCTGTTACATACTCTACTGTACGAATGGAGGATATGTATTAAATAATAAAAATAAAATAATTATTCTTAAGCCTTTCTACATCTGTGTATTTTTTCGTGTATTTCTTCATGTAATTCAGGGCGACAACTGGAAAAACTTCGAACGCAAGATAAATCAAAACTACATGAAAAAATACACAGAAAAATTCACAGATGTAATACGGGCTTTAGTTGTTTATTAGGTAATGTAAGTTGTATATGTAGGTATGGATAAGTGCTATACTAGTCAGTTTAGTTCAAATTGTTTTTGTAATTTTGTAAGTTTTTAGTGCAAATAAATATCTTCACTATTATTTATTTTTTTGGAATGTTTATCTCACTTACCCAGTTCACCTAATTTCAAAATCTAACTGTGAATCTAAAACACATTTTTTTTTTAGGTTTATGATAAAAAATTATTATCTAAAGAATGACATCAAAAACGAAATAGAAGAATCAGCTATTGAACTAATAGATACAAATGAAAAGGGAGAGGAATATTCAAGTGTCGCAAATCCATCAAAACCAGATGCTATCAGGAAGTTCCAATGCCATACTTGCAATGCTGTATTCAAAACCATAACAAGTTTGAAAAAACATTCAGTGACACATTCGGATATTCGTCTTTTTGAATGTGACACTTGCAATGCGAAATTTAAACGAAAATGCAACTTAAAGGAACACATTTCAACACATTCGAAGATTTATCCTTTCGCATGTAATACTTTCAAGGCAAAATTTAAACGAAAATCCGATTTGAACATTCACATATTAACACACTCGGATAATTATCCTTTTGCTTGTGATATTTGCAAGGCAAAATTTAAACGAAAATATTGTTTGACGGCTCACAAATTAATACACTCAGATATTTATCCTTTCGCATGTGATATTTGTGAAGCAAAATTTAAACGAAAAGGCGGATTGAAGTATCACAGGTTATTACACTTGGATCACTTTTTTGAATGTGACACTTGCAAAGCAAAATTTAAACGAAAAAGCGAATTTAATTCTCACATATTAACACACACAGATATTTGTCTTTTGGAATGTAACATTTGCAAAGTAAAATTCACACGCAAAGACAGTTTAAAGAAACATGTAATAACACATTTGGAACATCATCCTTTTGAATGTGTTATTTGCAAAGCAAAATTTAAACGCAAAGCCACTTTGAAAGATCACATGCTGACTCACTCGAATATTTATCCCTTTGAATGTGACACTTGCAAAGCAAAATTCAAACAAAAAAGCAATTTGAAGAGACACTTATTAACACATTCGGATGGGAAGAATTTCAAATGCAACACATGCAATGCTAAATTTAGAACCAGCTATAATTTAAAAAAACATTCAATAGTGTCGCATTCAAATAGGTAGTGTTAATTTGTTGATAAACGAGGATTTTAATCTAACTTTTGTACATACATACAATATACCGGGCGTTTCTCAAAACTCACTCACCCCTATAACTTTTTTATTTTGACAAATAAATAATTGAAATTTGGTGTTTATTTATGATCCGGATATGCATAATTTGACGTATTCAATAATTATCTATGATCACTGAGGTTTGACCGGAACTCGGAAGTAATCCTAACTTTCCTATTTCAAATGGGACGCCATCAGATATATTGTCCCTTATTTCAATGGGAAACTTAGAAGTACAATGACACCTCATTTATTAGTTTTTGACATTTTATTTAAAAATCATTTAAATTTTTAATTTTCAATCTAGAACGCTATGAATTAATTAAAATGCTCCAAGGAATCTAGGAAAATTTATTTTGATTTTTTTTTTGTATTTTATAACGTCTACAGACTGAACTTCGTTGACCAGTCAGAAACAACTACTCCGAGGGCAAATACCCCTACCGGCGTTGAACTACACTGATTGGTCTGAGCTTTCGTTGGCAATGAAAATTGTTAGAGAGATTTTTTTTTTCAGGTAATGACCAACGTGAATACAGGCTACAGACTAATTTAAAAATAGCATTTTTGGAATTAAATCCATTTTTCGAAAAAGAAAGGGTGTGGCTCGTCAGCATATTCCGGAAGAGCATTTTCTAATGAACAATCTAGTACCAAACAATTGCTAGTTTATTCAAATAATAAATTAAAATTTCCCGAAAATATTTAGAATTCCAAGAAAATTTCTTAATTTGAGTAATGAACTAGCGATTGTGTGGTAAAGTCTGTGCATCGAGAGTTTACCCGTAAGTTGTAAAACTGGGCATGGCATTAAATCATGCCAAATATAAAGAGAGAATGGGCAATACCTGAAATTTTCAAAATGTTTTGTGGGTCATGAAATTTTGTGAAGAAATATATTTTCTCAGATAAGTATTTACATTTAAAATGCATATTCATCTAATGCTATGTATAGCTTATTATACTTTTATTATTATTATTATTATTATTATTATTACATATTATTCACTTTCGAAACTTTCGTAAACGGGCGCGTCCCTTCTAGATACATCTAGTGTATAGCTCATTGTTTTTGTTTGTGTATGGTGTCTTGGAATAATATGGTATTTTGGCAATGAAGTAGTAAGAAGGTTGGAATAGCCCTTATGCCCACTAGTATTTACTAACTGTTTTTTTTTTATCGACAATAGATTTGTCACTTTTATTATAATTACTAGTACACTCAGTGGGAGTCAATGATTTTGGGTGTTTGTTCGATTTCCTACTTCTTGTTTCAATATTTACTGCTACTTCGTCTCTATGTTGCTTTGCTGACTTGTCATCTACTTCTTTCTTCAACATACAATTCTCTTCCGGTAGAATTTCTATACTTGTCATCATATTCTTTCTCAAAACGTTTAGATCTCCTAAATCGTTTTCTAGTTTTTCCATGTTTTCTTTTAGCGTGTTTATATCATTGTATAATATAGTGTTCAATCCTGTGAGTTCACTGTTTTCCTCAATAAATTTTCCAATATATTCTTCTTGCTCCCTGGTAGCTCCTATGTAGTTTTGTTTCATAAAGTCTTTTCCTTCAAGTGTTTTTTTTTCTGGAATTTATTTTTTGTCCAATAATGTTTTCGTCTATATGGTATTACTCATGAATTTTCGCCATTTTCACAAGAGTTGCAGACTCATTCACAGAATCTTTATTTTCCCGTGTGCATGCAATGCTGTATTCAAAAGGAAATCAACTTTGAAATATCATTTAATGACACATTCGGATATTCGTCCTTTTGAATGTGACACTTGCGAGGCGAAATTTAAACAGAAAGGCAATTTAAAGAGACACATGTTAACACCCTTGCATAACAAGTATTTTCCATGCAACATATGCAAAGCTAAACTTACAACCAAAGCAATTTTGAAAAGACATTTATTGAGACATTCGGATATTTATCCGTTCGAGTGTGACACTTGCAAAGTAAAATTTAAACGTAATGACTATTTGAAGAATCACATATTAACACACGCAAATAACTATTCTTTTAAATGTAATATTTGCAAAGCAAAATTTAAACACAAACGCAATTTGCAGAATCACCTTTCAACACACTCGCATATTTATCCTTTCGAATGTGAAACTTGCAATGCAAAATTCAAACGGAAAATCAATGTGATGTGCGTCACATATTAACACACTCGATTAATTATTATCTTTTTGCATGCGATATTTGCAAAGCAAAATTTGAACGAAGATATATTTTGAATGTTCACAAATCCACACACTCGGATATTTATCCTTTCGAATGTTATACTTGAACAAATACAAAAATTGTATTTGAAGAGACACATATCAACACACGCAGATATTTTTTCTTTTGAATGTGACACTTGCAAAGCAAAATTTAAACAAAAATATGATTGGAAGAATCACTTTTCAATACATCCGGATATTCATCCTTTTAAATGTGAAACTTGCAAAGCAAAATTCAAACGGAAAGCACATTGAAGCGTCACATATTAATACACTCAAATTATCCTTTTGCATGTGATACTTGCAAAACGAGAAGGCGAATTGAAGCGACATATATTGAACACACTCCGATATTTATCCTATTGAATGTAACACTTGCAAAGCAAAAGGATAACGCACACCTAACATGGGATTTTTGGGCTCTATGGATTTTGCTCATTTTTTGATATGTTGTAGAGGATTAAATTCTTAACAACCTTTAAATGGGACGAAGTCTTGTAGGTATTGAGGTCTTTGAGATATGAGCGCTGAAAGATGAACTTTTTTTGCGACTTTTTGTGTGGAGAGTATACGAAAAACTGGTGTTTATCAGTCAAAATTTTGAAAGGTCGACATATTTCACGTCACTAACAAATGTCAACATAAGCTAAGGCCGAGACCGCACTAGCACCAACATTGACCTCAGTGCGGTTCCGGCCTTAACTTATGTTGACATTAATTTGTGAGTGACGTGAAATATGTGAACCTGTCAATATTTTGACTGATAAACACCAGTAGCACCAGTATCTCGTATACTTTCCACACAAAAAGTCGCAAAAAAGTTCCTCTTCTAACGCTCATATCTCAAAGACCGTAGTACCTACAAGATTTCGTCCCATTTAAAGGTTGTTCAGAATTAAATCCTCTACAACATATCAAAAAATGGGCAAAATTCATAGAGCCCAAAAATTCCATGTTAGGTGTGCGTTATCCTTTAAGCAAAAAATAATTGAATAAGAAGAATTTTCAATACAACGCTTAATTAAGTATGGGGCGCCATGTGTTCCATAAATATTTTGTCTTATACAGGGTGTTCCTAAAGATCATGTACAAACGGAAGGGAGTGACTCTCTGTTTTTTTTATGACAAATAAACATAGGTCCGTAAACGCTCCGCTACGGATCTACTGGGTCTTCAAATTTCAATATTTTTTAGTTTTTCGTTTTCTTTAAATTTCAGTCATAAAAAACCAAAGCATTACCTTCATCTCCTTCCTGTTATATACATGATATTTAGTAGATGAAATGAGATATTAGTATATGAAATATTTTGCAGAAAAAATAATATAAAGGTAAAAATGACAACAACTTTGTATATTTATATATATTTTTAAATTTCTATATATGTACACATATATCGAATTTGGTACCATGCAAAGTTCGATACAAAACTTTTTCTTTTGAAAAGTGCTCTAGAGATGGCGCTACCTTTGATCATATTCTTTGTTTGTGTATGGTGTCTCAGAATAATAAGGTATTTTAGAAGGCGGTTGATTTAAAATTTATGTGGCTGCAATAAGGGTGTATTGACATTGATATTATTGACGATAATTAAATATATCTTTGATGATAATAATTATGTATTGTTATAAGTACGGCAATACTGGTCAATGATGATCATGCTGACTGCTGAGGTTGTGTTGTGTGACAATACATAATTACCATGAATCATATCAATATCATTGTACCCTTTTTTATAAATCGTTCTTAAAGCTTTTTTCAAATTACAGCAATAAGCATTTTTGTTCAAAAATTCTACTCCAATCGTCAGTTACATACTGCTATAGTGCAATGCAATTTTTGTTGAAATTTTTGTGAGAGAATACATGTACATGATGATGGTTACTACATTTAAGTAAACAGATTTGTATGAGTAATAAAAATGTTAATACTATTATATGATATGTATTAGTTTTTTTTTTAATTTCAATCTCACTTAGTTACAAAATTTAACTATGAATCTGAAGCACGTTTTTTTTTTTAGTTTTATGATAGAAAATGATTTTCTAAAAGATGAAATCAAAAACGAAATAGAAGAATCATCTATTGAACTAATAGATCCAAACAAAGAGGAAGAGGATTATTCAAGTGTCGCAAATTCATCAGAACCAGATGTTACCAGGAAGTTCCAATGCAACACTTGCAATGCTGTATTCAAAACCAAAAAAAATTTAAAAGATCATTCAATTGTACATTCGGATATTCGCCTTTTTGAATGTGACACTTGCAAAGCCAAATATAAACGAAAATCCGATTTGAACATTCACATATTAACACACTCGGATAATTATCCTTTTGGTTGTGATACTTGCAAAGCAAAATTTAAAAAAAAAAATAGTTTGAAGTCTCACAAATTAATACACTTAGATATTTATCCTTTCGCATGTGATATTTGTGAAGCAAAATTTAAACGAAAAAACGAATTGAAATATCACAGGTTATCACACTCAGAAATTTACTCTTTTGAATGTGACATTTGCAAAACAAAATTTAAACAAAAAGGACAATTAAATTCTCACACAATAATACACTCAGATATTTATCCTTTGGAATGTAACATTTGCAAAGCAAAATTCAAACGAAAACATAACTTGAAGGATCACGTAAAAACACATTCGGATATGCGTCCTTTTGAATGTGTTATTTGCAAAGCAAAATTTAAATGCAAAGCCCATTTGAAAGATCACATACTGATTCACTCGGATATTTATCCCTTTGAATGTGACACTTGTAAAGCAAAATTCAAACAAAGATGCAATTGGAAGAGACACTCATTAACACACTCGGATGAGAAGAATTTCAAATGTTACATATGCAACGCTGAATTTAGAACCAATTATAGTTTGAAAAAACATTCAATAGTGTCGCATTCAAATAGGAAGTGTTAATTTGTGTAGGTAATTTCTGCTCTGTTCACTAAATATAATTAGATTTAAATTTCAATTTTTTTTAAAGTAATGTTAAGATGGAAATTATTTTTAGATTTTGTTTTATAATTATATCTATCCATGAACACGAAATTTTGGGAAATATATTAAGTTCAGTCAAATAGTATTTAGAAAGCGTTCATAGTAGAAAGTTTTGGTATAATTGTTTTTAGTGGTTCATATGTTTTTTGAGGTGCTGAACACGAATCTCAAGCTGTCCAACAAAAACTTTCGCGGCAAATATGAGAAATCATCAAAAAATCACTGAAAATAATGTTTTATAGTGGTTTTTAGCTTATAACTGGTGAAGCAAGCTACATGTTTTTTTTTTATTTGAGGAAACTATCCTTCATCGCAAGATAATTTAGAAGTTTTATGTTCAATTACTGAAATAATTTGCAAAAAATAAAATAAAACTGTCCCCCGAAGCTAATCCTATTTTGTTCGGAATTTTTACTCTAATCTTCTGTTACATATTATACTGTACCAATGGAGGATATGTATTAAATAATAAAAATAAAATAATTATTCTTAAGCCTTTCTACATCTGTGTATTTTTTCGTGTATTTCTTCATGTAATTCAGGGCGACAACTGGAAAAACTTCGAACGCAACATAAATCAAAACTACATGAAAAAATACACAGAAAAATTCACAGATGTAATACGGGCTTTAGTTGTTTATTAAGTAATGTAAGTTGTATATGTAGGTATGGATAAGTGCTATACTAGGCAGTTTAGTTCAAATTGTTTTTGTAATTTTGTAAGTTTTTAGTGCAAATAAATATCTTCACTATTATTTATTTTTTTGGAATGTTTATCCCACTTACCCAGTTCACCTAATTTCAAAATCTAACTGTGAATTTAAAACACATTTTTTTTTTAGGTTTATGATAAAAAATTATTATCTAAAGAATGACATCAAAAACGAAATAGAAGAATCAGCTATTGAACTGATAGATACAAATGAAGAGGGAGAAAAATATTCAAGTGTCGCAAATCCATCAGAACCAGATGCTATTAGGAAGTTCCAATGCTATACTTGCAATGCTGTATTCAAAACCATAACAAGTTTGAAAAAACATTCAGTGTCACATTCGGATATTCGTCTTTTTGAATGTGACACTTGCAATGGAAAATTTAAACGAAAATGCAATTTAAAGGAACACATTTCAACACATTCGAAGATTTATCCTTTCGCATGTAATACTTGCAAGGCAAAATTTAAACGAAAATCCGATTTGAACATTCACATACTAACACACTCGGATAATTATCCTTTTGGTTGTGATATTTGCAAAGCAAAATTTAAACGAAAATATTGTTTGACGGCTCACAAATTAATACACTCAGATATTTATCCTTTCGCATGTGATATTTGTGAAGCAAAATTTAAACGAAAAGGCGGATTGAAGTATCACAGGTTATTACATTTGGATCACTTTTTTGAATGTGACACTTGCAAAGCAAAATTTAA